AAGCAAAAACTGCATTGCAAACAAAACAAATAAAAATAAAACCAAAAAATAAAAAAAAAACAGAAAACAAAAAATAAGAAATAAAAATAATAACAAAAATAAAACTAAACGAATTCAGGGAAAATGAAATAGTATAAATCATTTAAATAACATATTTAGTGATTTATCATTATAATATGGGCAATTTGCATAATTTATAATATTTTTGCGATTTGCACTTAAAAAAGCAAAATTGCTATTCATTATTTAATAATAAAATTGATTGTTGTTGTTTATGGTTAGTTGTTGTAATTGTAGTTATTGTAGTTATTGGGCTTAAAGTGTTTTCATGTATGAATTTTAGTGTTATTGGCATTTTAGTAAACGAACGTCAAAAAAATTTGTAAAATTTTAATAATTCAATAAATGAAATTTATTTTTAATATTTTTTGGTTTGTTTTTATTGAATAAAAGAGACATATTTGTAAAATTAAAATTAGAAATAAAATCATATTTAATTTATGAGTTTATGTGGGTTGATGGCATGCAAGATAATCCGAAAACAATAACTAGTTTCTGTTAGTGTGGGTAAATTAGAGCGATAAAAAGCGAAATTTTAATTTTGAATAATGTAATTCACTCTATGTGATAACAAAAAAAAAAATAGTAATATGTAAGCAGGTAGTCAGGGCTGAATTTACTTTGTATAGGCATAATGTTATGTTTATAATGTTTATAATTTATAATTTGGTTTATATTAAATAACAGAAACTTGGCTCACATTGATTCGCTTTAACTTTGGAATGCATTTTACGTAATAAATCCCAAAATATACCAATAGGTACCGGTTTAATTTCATATTAAGAGTTTATTTATAATTATAATATCCTATCCCAACAATGAGGCAGCTAGGATTCCATTAAGTAACAAAGTTCAATATAATAAACACTTGAAGCGCTTATTTCCATCCGAAACTATGAATGTAACAATCTATAATTAGCTATTGTACTTAATACAATTTTAATCTCTTTATTGACTCAATCACTCTTAATATTTAATTATGTTATCTTATTTAATTGAAACAAGTTTTACTTAGTTATTGCTAATACTTCATACACAACATGTAATTCTTAATATTGTTTTGAATTATTATTGTAATTTTGATTATTGAAAAATAAATACTAGATGATAAATCTTGAGAGTTGTATAAATAAAGAGAAGAAAAAGAAAATTATATGTTCGGTAAACACAATTCTTAATTTACGATAGTTCTCATTTAAAATAATTATTTTCATATACTATATTCAGACACAGCTTCGTTTTGCAAAAATCTTAATTTCAACTTTGTTTCAGTGAAATTAAGTTGTTTTTTCCACACAAAATTCAATTTTGAGGTTAGAACGATATTAAGGAAAATTGCCTTAATTTCGTTGAAACGAAGGCCGAAATTAAAGGATATTTCAAATGCAACTATGCGTAAGATAAATTTGAAACAAAAGATAAAGTTGAGATAACGAAAAAGTGACATCTTGTCAATGACAGTTGAGTTTAATGAAACCGGGAAAATATTTTGAAAGTAGTGCAATTTTTGAAATTACAATATAAAGAATAAACTGTATTTATTATTGATATAAAATAGAGTGAAAAACATTTATTCACATACCTGAAATCCACTAAAGCTAGTAAAGCTACCGAATGCCATCATTTATGATTATAATAATCAACTTTTCAGATACAAATAGTGTTTGGAGCAGGCAATTTTTAACATTCGATTTGGGGCAGTATGAACACTTTCGAAATTAATTTAATTTAATGTCAGAACATAGTAATAGATCCCTTAACATTGGGCCTTAAGATATGCAACAAAATTGTATATTTCGCAACTAAGTTTTTAGTCAATTTTAATGCATACTTTTTGGCATCGGGATAAATGACGTTTTTATATTATCGCAAAATATTGGCAAACTATATACCTGGCAAGATATTTGATTGTGTTTTTGCGTTATATGACGGCATAAGCGTCTTTTTTGAAAATATTTTTGAAACCAGCATATTCTCTTATTTTTGCAAATCTTGGTATGAAACTCGTAGCATTGTACGTCCTGATTTGACAACGAATTTCGTTACACTATAGTTTACTAAAACACTTTCACTCCAAGCTTTGTGTCATTATAGCTTAGTTTTGTACATATAGAGCAATAAGTGAGTGCAGCCAATAGTGTTAATTGTGATTTGTGTAATCAATATCACAAATGTCAAATATAGTACATTATTTCCGTATGTAACGTTTTTAAAAACCGTGTTATAATAATATCGTGTTTACTTATCTCTAGAAAGATGATAACAACTTTGAATTGTTAAAATAGTTCGATCATAATGAATCATACAATTGCAGTTACGGTTATTTGCTTTATTATTGAACATTAGTTTAATTACAACTAATAGGTTATAATATATATGCTTAATTAGAATAAGGTCAATATTTTAAATTATTTTTTCTGTAGCAACAACAAATGTACTATGTTAAGTATGAAATTTAATTCAGCTTTGCTGCCCTTTCTCTCATATCCTTACTTAATCGTTTTAATTCTATATTTAAATTACAAAAATCACGTGCTTGAGTAGAGAGGTTAATATTGCTGTAGGAATGCAATCAATTTGCTAAAAATATTCGATATAGTCACGCGAACACAATTTTATATGAACTACCGCAATTGTGTTGCATATTTTTAGGTGCAACAATAAAAATTCACAAAACCATTGAAAAGAAAATATGAGAAGTACAAAGCGAAACTAGCGATACTTTTAGAAAATTCCAAATGTTAATGAATCTCGATTACATGTCTACTTCCACTCTAACATTTCCGGTATATGTCTACCTACATACGTGCAACATATTTTCATCATTGCTTTTTTTTTTTTGTTGTGTTAATTTTGTGCAATAACAATCACGCTTTTGTTGTACCAAGAGAAGCCTACAACATATAACATAAGTATGATTGAGTCAACCATATTTTAATTAAAGATAAGTGGGCTGTGGCAAGAAAACACCTAAACATTTCGCATAAAAAGCCTTGGAAAAATTTTAATTGCAGCCTTTTAGGCGCGCCAGAAAACAAACCACTTTTTTGTGTTTGCAAATATTATGGCACCGATTTTTAAATTTTTTTATTCAATTCTGATATTTTACAACTTAATTTGTTGGTTATATATTTGATTTATTGTGTTTCTTATGTTTTACTTAACACGTTGCTGAACTAATTTTTTTTGTTTGTTATATGTGCAGAAAAAAGTAAACAATGACGTGCATTATTTTTTATATTATTTTGGCCAACTGCACAAATCTTCAATTTTTTTATAGTGCAAAATTACGCAAAACGCATAAAGTTTAATGTGTGAGCAATTTGCATATAAAAACGTATGCTTGCTGAGGGCATGCACGCTAATGACTACGATGTTAAAGATGATGATGATGAAAATGACGATGACGATGGCAATAATTATGACGATAATGATAATGATTTGATGATGATGATGATGATGATGATGATGATCACGATGATAATGATGATGATGATGTTGATGTTGATGATGTTGATGATGATGAGAACAAGTACATGATGAGAACCAAGCCACAGTAGACTGCATGTCGTATATGTGCGCGTTTTTACAACGTTTATTTAAATTTTATTGTTGAATTATGTTCTTTTATTAAGAATATTAAAAATAAGGATGCAAAACTGCACAGCAATGAACAATTTGCATTTATTGCATGCTTAACGGAATTGTGCACAAATATTTTAATGCACACTTAAGCAGCCAAGAAAACAAAACATTAATTGCCGCAATAATTGCAACATGTTTCTGGATTTTATTGTTTTAAAGCAATAAATTTTACATGAAAAACATATAAAAAATACATAACAGACATAGAAAGAAGTAATTTTTTATAGATGGAGCTCTTATGAATTTGGTTATGTTCTCCTTTACAGCAAAAGGCAAACTATAAGCTACTAGAGGTTACAGTTTAATGACCAGTAAGAGCTGCCCTCTACCGTTGTTTTTTGGTACTTTTATTTCATACAACCTTCCATCTTGTTTTCTTTCTCTTTTTTAACTTTTTCACATTTTCGTTGTTTAGAAACACGTGTTTCTATTACTAGAAAAGCTAAGTGAAGTGTAAAAACGTAGAATATCTTAAATTTTGACTCCATATTCCTCGTAATATTCTAGAAAAGGTCAGTTGTTTTATATTTAGAAAGACGCTTTGCATTTATGTGGTTGTTTATTGTGTTGGAGATGTTGTAAAGTGTGTGATAATAATGTCCTCCACGCTATGTGCATAATCTCGGAAAGAGATATAATAAATAGGTTATTTGGTTTGTCAAGATATTATATAAGTTTTTTCTATTAATAAAGTTAGAAATATCACGTCGAAAAAGACATAGACGGTTTTACATCTTCATCATTTTCCAAAAAGTGCGGCTGTGTCACAATATTACAACTTCGGACCAAATGCCATGCATATGTGTGATGGACTTAGGGTAAATAAAATGGTGTTTCGAGTGTTAACTTTTTCAGTAAGCGAAAAATGAGTCTCATCACTCAAAACGATTCGGTGATATCAATCCCTATTCGAACATCCCTATTCGAACATCAAGGCAGTCCACATTTAACGCATTGCACTTATAAGAATAAAATAGACAGAAAAGCTCTGAGCGCCGCAGCTCCTTAGAAAGCTAATTCTGAGCTCTAAATCGCCTTTCTTTGCATATCACTCTAACAATGTATTTATGTGGTGTTTTCGTAGCACTCCGTCTTCGCTACAGTTGGGTACTTTTTCTCTTCTTCCATCTTCATATATGGTACATTTTTTTTTATATTATCAAATATCAAGTATTTTTCTTATAAAATAAAAATAAAATTTTGAACCATTATTTATAAATCCCATTTAGTATGCTTTGATGTTTGAAAATTTCTTACTTCAGTAATTTTGAAACAAAATTTCTTTTGTATCGGTAGTATTAACTTCTCCTTTCCTAACTACCTTGAGTGATCTAAGAGCCGATATTATAGTAAAAGTTTATTGATTATATACAAAAATAAAGAGTATCTCACACATGTAAGTGCATAAATAGTTCCGCTGCATATTAAAAAAAAAAGGGATTGAGTTATGAAATTTAAAAAAAAATTCTTTATTCTTAGAAAAACTCTCTTCTGTACTTTTGAAAATGGATTTATTTGAAAAGAAAGCCAATAGAGAATATATTGTAGCCAAGTTGGAACGTACTGAATTGGTAAGTTTTCTAATTAAAATTTGAATATTTTTTCCATATTTGGTTTTTTCAGTATGACCCGTTCAAGTGTAAGACCTCAGAGAAATGGGATAATTTCATTTCTGATATTACACTACGCAATATGGAGGTATGCAAGGAGTTTGTTAGCTATTATCGTATTCGTTCAATGGATTTCTCACCATCTGGTGAGCAACTAATCACTGGTAACGGCAACAGAATTGATTTATATATGACAGCTAAGCCTCGCGCCATACATTCATATCAGACTAAAAAGCGTGGCTGCAACATCATTAAGTACTACAGCTGCGGTGAAAAAGTAGTCCATACTACAACAAAATGCGGTCACGACATTCAACTTTTGAGCTTAGCAACCAGTAAGTATTTCGCAATGTATACTGGTCACCGCAAGCGTGTGCAGTCCATATCAACACCACTACTTAATGATGCTCTGTTGTTGTCGGGATCAAAGGATTCCACTGTTCGCTTCTGGGATATACGCTGTCAGTATGCGTATGGCCGTATCGATATGCCGGGACCAGTGATGTGTATGTATCATCCTTCTGGCTTATATTTGGCGACTGCTGTAGATGATTGCATTCAGGTATATGACTCACGTTATGTATTCAAGGGTCCATTATATCGCTATATGCCCAACCCAACCATGCATAATTTGAGCGGCCTAAAGTATTCTTACGATGGCAGAAAACTTTTAGTTACTTATAACAACGCCTTGCATTTGTTCGATTCTGACAATTTGTTACCTATAAAGCAGATGACCGGATTTTGCCGTGGAGAATATGTGAAAATTCAAGCTAGCTTCACACCGGATTCCAATTTCGTTGTTACTGGTGGAACCGGTGGTTCAATACACGCTTACTCTACTGATTGTGACAACACTATTATTAATCTTGAAACCATTACTCCAAACGCAATCGAGTCTGTTTTATTCAATCCATTCTATTTAATGATGGTATCGGCCTCTGGGACTTTACGTTTTTGGATGCCCAGTTGCAAGTAGATAACAAAAAAATTTCATATCTTATATTAAATATCAAAAAAATTCGTTTACTCAAAATTTAATGTATTTTTTAAAAGTTATACATAATTAAATAAATTTTGGAGAAAGTGTGTTTTATTTTATACAAAACATCTATGGATTTATTCATGTATTATATATTACTAGGAGAGTGGTAATTCGTCACTTTGTTATTTTAAAATTAATTTATATATTTACATAGATAATAAATTTATATATTTATTTTCCTGAGTCTCTGCATTAGATTTCCGTATACTTAGGTTAGGAAAGGTTTAGGAGGCGCATGCTGACAGCACTTTCACTCGGAAGAATATATTCCCCACTGTGATGCTCTCAAAAATTATGCCGGGAGAGGCAACTTGTTAAACCATTTGGTTTTCAAGATGAAGTTGAGGAAATCCGTTAAATTTGCTTTCGTTATCTCTTCCAAGTCAATGAAAAAGCGATCCCCAAGATCCGTATACTTAATCTTCAAACTTTATTCTTCAGTTATAAAAGCAATATAATTTCTTCATATTGTATCGAGTTCATACTTTGGGTAGATATGGAATCAGCCAGAAAAACGAAAGAGATTTCATTACAATAACTGTCACAATTATTTCACGAGCATCAAATATTATTCTCCAGCATTAATATTAACATAACATTAACAAAACATGATTTTCTTTCTTTCCTTGCAAAATTCTGTAGACTCAATAGATTGCAATCTCCTCTAAAAGCAAATTCACTATTCTCGGTCTGTCTAATCACAATTAAATCAAAATTAGTCTTTCGCATGCCAACTCTGAATTGAGTCCATTGAGAAACCAAAGCATATTCTTATTAATTTATGCTCAATAGCAGCTGGGAATACAATTCAATGAAATCACGAATGAAAAGGTTAGGCAAGGATCAACAGTAGAGAAGCAAATACTGATCTCAAATGGTCCAAAATTATCTTTTGCCAAAGGTTTTAGATAATTTTAGACCTTGGGTTTTTAATAATACGGCAGCACAATGGGCCTATAGGCCTAAGTGGATCCCTCTGAGATTGCTGGTATAGCCTAACCTACCTAACGTAGTTTGAGAGTGTTGATATCTGTAATTGACCAATATTAGTTTTATAAGATTAAACTATAATGTTTACCAGCATAGATGAAGTATAGTATAACCTGAATTTATAGTTAGGTTACATAGACCCGATCCCTTACATAGGCCTAGGATATTAGGAATTTTCCTGATGAAGGCAAAAGCAAAATGTGCCGAAAAACGTATAGAAATATACAAAAAATTAATGCTCGAAATAAAAGTTAATATTCTTAAAAAAAAACAGACTTTAAAGTAATTACGACTGATAAAAGCCCTTCACAGACTGAAAATCATATCACGTTTAGCAATGCTGCAATTAGAAGCGATCCTACTTTTTAGTTAGCTTGGTCGAAATTGGAAAGTGACATACATATGGATATGGTGCACTATACCTACTTTAGAACGATACCAAAAATTCGACATTATAATGTTGTAAACATCAATTGGGAACGGACGGACTATAATGGATGATAGTGAGATTGTGATAAACGTAACATTTATAGTGGCATTTAAACACAATATTTTAAATATTGCAAATGCTAAACTGTCAGAGTAATTTTGTTACTCCGGTCAATTATCTAGAGTGCTAGAAACGAGTCGGGACTAGTGAGACATTTTGCTCGAGATTAGTCAATCGAAAGCGAAAATTGCACTAGAAATTATTATTGAGTGAAAAGCTTCGAAAATTAATAATTTATTAAATTAATAAATTATTAATTTAAATATAATATTAATTTAAAAAAATAAATATAAAATCAAAGTTATTTTAATTTTTTTCACAATATCTACAGTAAATGCGTATAAAATAATTGTACAGAGAATTACTTAGTTCGTGCTGTAAATAGGAACCATTAAAAGGTACGTACACAACACGTAATTCTCACTGACCCATTTCTAAAAATTTCAATCGAAATTAAAGCCGCAAACATCATTTAGTGTTTCCCGGCAAAAAGGAGCATAGAGTGGTATTTCTCGAAATATTTTCCACAACAATTAACTCCATTTTTGCACTGATTGGAATCGTTTTCGGTTTAATTTGTTTTGACTGCGGGCTTTACTTCCGATTTCTTTTTTATACAAGGTGTGCTAATGCAATTGTGCAATAGAAAATTCCTTGCGTGTTAGAGTGCACTTAAAATTGCGCAAATATAGCACAATTTCCAAAGTAAAATGCCTAAATGATTACTAATTAAATAAACTAAAACAGTACACTGGAAAAAAAGGATAACAGAAATCTGTTCTAGAAAAATTATGAGAAATGTGGAAATATAACATAAATTCAACAAGCGACTAGTTACTTATGCCTTGTTTTCACTATGTCATTTCAAATGACAATTATAATTGACAGGTGTGTCAAATGCGTTTTCATAACATGACAAGAATGTGAATCATATGACTACCCGTTTTCATTATACTGACAATATTTGACATTGAAAATGACATAGTGAAAACAAGGCATTAGTTACTTTGATAAGATTTTCTTATTAAATAATTCAATAATTCATTATCTATTTATAATTTTTTATTACTAATTATTTCAGAAAAAAAAACGACTATACCGAAAAGATCTCAATCATCGAACGAATAAATACCATTAAATTGTTACTCTTGAGCATAATTTCCAGTTCCATAACAATAAATGATATTTTATGGCAACATGATATAAACTAGTAAGGATAGACCTTAGTCCAAGAAAAACGGACATCGTATGAGGTTCAAAAAACTTTTAAAAACACATTACTTGTTAGTATTCATATCTTGTCGTTTGCGGATTAACAACAAACTATGACAGTATTTTGCGAATCCAAGACCACTGAAGACATTATATAGATTTTGAGTATCTGGGAATAAGACTTATACTCTCCAGCTGGGTACTGTGAGTTAAAAAACAGTACACGGCATTTGACTTTTGACTTTTACCTAAAAAGTTGTACTACATTTTAGCATGATATGCTAACATATGAGCATGGAGTATACGAGTATAGTGCCAATATATTCAATTACAAGTCGTTTAGGGAATTTAGGGAAAAAGTAGGTATAACTATTAATGTGATACTAGATACTAGTTCAATCAGGACACACTGAAGCTCACGAAATTGGTATTACTAGTAAACTATCTAATGTAGGAGCTATAAATCTACTTTTAATTTCGAACTTTCATTTCGAACATACAGCAGTGATTGATTGCACAAGAATCGAAAGACTTGCAGAGTATTAGTCTGGAAATCAGTTTTAGAGCAATTATGAATTATCGTTATTATAAATCTCAGTCTTATAAGTGAATGCTTTACATTATTCCAGTTTATCTAAAAAGAAGCTTTTCATTCTTATGTGACAAATACTTCATTTTTTTTATGAATAGAGTTATTCATCTCCTTGCACTAATCAAACTATGCAGTTTATGAAGATATCGTTCTGTAGAATATGTTGACGTATACTCTATAGTTGTATTTTAAATATTTTAACCCAATAAAGAAAATAACTGAAAATTGATCAATCAGAATCATTGCAATATATAACTTTAAAAACAAATCTTAATTCTTCTTCGAAATCTAGTCAATAAAACTTAATTTATAATATCCGAACTGAAGGCCCTGGCAGTGAGCACTCTTTTCTTATCTTAGTTATAAGATTTTATATTTTGTAATTAATTATAATAAATAAATAAATAAAATAACACCTGAATACAGTTATTGACCTGTACTTAGACTCAACTATTTCCCAGACTAATTGAAAAACAAAAATTCTGCAAAGTATAACTAAGACAGAGACAACAACAAACCTACCTATTTAGGCAATACCTATGCTGTTTGCAACTGTTGTGTTTTTTTTATGTTCCATTACTTATTCTATTTAAATAATTTTCCAAGTTCCAATTATGGGCTGCTAAAATCCCTATATCAAGGTTCATTAGAATTATTGGAACAGACTCTTACGAATGGGTGGACTTTATCAAGTGAATATGATTAGAGACAGAACTAGAAGCAACATATTATTAAATTAGCATCATCCCTTTTAATGTGAATCAACAAAATTTGGGCCATTATATAATAATAATCACTATAAATTAATTAAAATAAATTTTTTATCTTATTAACTCGTCATAAGGCAATAACAATGATTATACATATGTATTTCAAAAGTCAAATAGATTAATTTCGGGAGACCCTACAGCCACACAAACTCCATCTCACCATCTGGCTAATAAATTTCAATAAAGAACTAGTATTAATAATTTTTTGAAAATTAAAAATAATTGGACCCACTATATGTTTTCTATTCACATCGGCTGAATACTAAATTCTTATTAAACGGTTATAGACACATTATTCGGATATATGTATTACCAGTAGAGTTGTGATTAATCCGTATAATATGTTACTAGATTTAGTAATACAAGAATTCAAGAACTAGTATTAATAATTTTTTGAAAATTAAAAATAATAGGACCCACTATATGTTTTCTATTCACATCGGCTGAATACTAAATTCTTATTAAACGGTTATAGACACATTATTCGGATATATGTATTACCAGTAGAGTTGTGATTAATCTGTATAATATGTTACTAGATTTAGCTGCCTACGATTTCATCTTTTTCACTCAACTAAATCGAATGCTTTTAAAATTTCTTAAGAGCATTTTTGCGAATGCTATGAGTACTTCTTTAATAATTCAGTAAGGGAAGAAAACTTTAAACAAACTCTGCTCTTTTTTGATATTCATGGAAATAAATTTACATATGTTCGTCCTATATTCTAGCTCAATTACGAAACTTCTGTGAGGAATAACAATTTTAAAATAACAACACAGCTTCCACACATATTGTAGTGTCTCTTCCCGGATATAACTTAAAACTGTAACCCAAACTACAATTTTTTCGCGATTTATTAAACACTTTGGATGAGGATGCCTCGCGTTTTATGTGGCCGTGCTCACTTCTATAAATAAATGATTAAATTAACTTATTTAAATTTTATTACAAAGCCCATATCATTCCCTATCTACCCTACCCTGCACATGTACACATGGGTATGTATGTATATGCATAAGGACATATATAGAATTTTTTCATTTGTTGACTTTTTAAATATATTTTGCCAAAAGGAAATTACCTCATCTTTTCCCTTGACGACACACATTTTGACATCATCTTCCGGTGATTGCCATACGAGGCGTTGCTGCTCCGTCAAGTCGTGTATACTCAAATTGTACACAATATTTCTGTAAATAGATAATTTAAAAGGAAATGTTAGAGTGAATTTAAGGCATGAATAATAATTTATGAATTAACTTTTTAATTAAATGTTCTACATTAAGGAATTTTTATTAAGTTTGTGCTCTCATGTGCCGCCTGACGTTCTGATGTTCTGATGTTCTGGCGCTCTCGAAGGCGATGCTCATTCAAACTATGTTCTGTGCACAGAATATAAGTAAAATTGTATGTACTCGTAATTATAATTAAAATTATTTCAGTGTATTAGGAAATGGAAAAGTGAATCTTCAAATAATTTAAATGAGGAAAATAAATTCATTTTATCCGCAGAGGAACACGAAAGGACAGTTTCAAGTTGCCTTAACCTCACTTTATTTGCAGCACTTTTAATCGTTTTATTTCTTTAAATAACAAGTAGTTAAGGTTTATTGTGACATCATTAAACGAACTCATGGGACGTCAGCCCAAGAACTACAATTTTAACAAGACAAAATTATAAGTAACAACATTTCTTGAGCCTTAACTAAAAGTTATGGCGTTGATAAACAATAAAAAAATGATCTATTGTACCACCCTTTACAACAACCTAAGTGCGAAGAACAGAAAGCTGATCTACAGCCAGATAATTAGACCAGCCCCGTCGCATATAGCAAAGCTGCCGACTCTACTATCCAGAAGCTACAAGTTGCTCAAAGTCAGGTTTTCCGAAGGCTCTTTAAAGTGCCATTATACTTCTGGAGGAATGACATGCTAAGAGACCTTAAAATAGATCCGGTCGAAAAATACACAAAAGACAGAGCTCTGAAGCTATATGCGAAAATCGAGAACTATATGCACTATCTAATCTGAGAGTAATCACTAACCGCACGGGGCGGTACGCAGATCTTAGATCAGTCAATGAATAATCACGAAGATTATGAGGAATACTCAAATTAGTCAGTGACAAAATACTTCTCTAACTCTGATATTCACTAAGCACAGAGTTGCCAATCAATAATCCGGGTAAAAAAGTAATTAAGTATACAATAAGAGTTTTGTACTCTTGCTTCTTGCAACATAAATAATTGAAGATAATTTACAACGAGACTGTAAACACAGCCATGTGTATATTGGTTTTCTTCCGTCTTTCTCATCTCCCAATAGAGCACATAACTTTCATCATGAGTTTGTAACAAAATCTGCTTTCTATTTTTCAACAGTAGTCGTTAAATAAACATATTGCTCCTCTCAATTCGTTATAGATCTTCCTCTTCAAGATTCTAGTCGATGCTCCTGGGTTACGCTTATCTACGGATTCTATCTTAATACCTAAAATGCGATATTTAAAGTTATAGGGAACTAAATGGCTATTGAGCCAAAAAATTTCCATAGTAGCAATTAATAAATTGATGACATTCCAGATATGGCGGTTAAACCATATAAAAAGCTTTTGATTTAGTATCATCATTGCTTTTATTCCCTTTCATTTGCACAGTCTTAGAATTTAACACAAGTCCTTACTATTAGCGCCAAATATTACACAATATAATTAAAGTGGATTCGACTTTTTTTATACGGATTTAGATGTCTTTATAAATTTTGCTTTTCACTGTTATAACACTACTATTTTAACACCAGAATTTCGATATTTTTAATAGGTCTGTAAAAATTGTGGACAATCCAATGCTAGTTGTGCCAACAAATTTCCATAATAGTAAAGAATATATTGCTATGCTGATCCAGGGTGTTCTTCATTTATTGTTACGAGCAGTTTTGAGATGGAATTATGTCCGTCAGCCATCACTTTCATCTGGCTGAAGCTTACTTCCAAATCGGAGGTAGCCGAATCGGAATATACTAATTCAAATAGATTTAATCTGCGAAAAATAGTTTAATATCCATTTAAACATGATGTATATACACTACTATTACTGCAGTCCTCTTCTCCCAGTAGAGCATAGGGTCTTCGGTTTCATTCATCGACGAAATATTTTGACTTGAATTTAGCATCTCCAAATCCGATATGCGGGCTGCTAGTAAAGCAAGAGGATTAACCGGTGACCGGGCACTCTTTGGAGACAAAATTCCATTTCGGTGAATGAATGATGAGTTCATAGATTGAATAAACACCAGTAACACATTATAGATATGTATACTGTGCTCTAATTATGTTTTCAATCGTCAAAAAAGCAGTTAAATATCTTTTTGTTAATGCATTAAGTAAGAAGGAAAAAAAAAATTAAAATAATTTTTATCAAAAAACTAGCTATAAAATTAAGTTCAAAAAAAAAATTTCATAAGAGTTTCCCCTGTACGATTTCTTATTAGTCCTTCTCTTAATGCTTGTATAAATATTTATCAAACACTTTTTAATAATAGAAATTATACCCAATAGTGCAATTGCCAATTCATACGACAAGATAGAATAACAGCCCTATGAGCGACAACGAAACGTAGATTCAAAAAAGATATATCATGTGGTAGTACACACCTAGTAATAAAATTTGTATGGTTAATTTTTTGTCTAAAGAAAAAATAATACTTAAGTTAGAAAAAAATTTTCAAAGTTTATAATCTCAGCTGGCAATGCTTCTATTTATTTTTAGAATAAAAAAAAAATTTTTTGATTTTCATTTAACTCTGAAACTTTATTCGAAGTGATCGATATATTATCTGGTACGTGCTGTTCTGTTACTTTAATCAGTGCTAAACTCTTTTTTTTTTTTGGTAGAAAACTGAAATTGAATACTCAACAAAATGGCTGATGAAAATGTAGACCTTAATGTAGAAAATTTTCCAAAGATTAATGTTGCACCGGCGTACATGTGTGCTGGGAAGCGTCGGGAATTCCTGCACAATAAAGTCAAGAAACTCCCACGGAGTGTAAAGGATAAGATCATCGTGCTAAAAAATATGCAGCTCGATTACATACAACTAGAGGAGCAATATTTCCAACAACTTTACACATTGCAAAGTGAGTTTCAAGATCGCTTTCAGCAGCTAAATGACCAACGTCAAAGTATCGTCATGGGTACTACTGAGCCACCTGCAGAAGAGCCAAATTATAACGCTGTTCCTCTAGAGGTCGGACCAGATGCGCTGACTGAACAGGACTGCGCACAAGTCCAAAGCTTTTATGATGACATCGAGGAAAACTGTAAGGGCATTCCGAATTTTTGGTTAACTATATTGAGAAATATCAAAGCATTTGCTGTTTTAATACATGAACGTGATGAACCAGCACTCAAGAAACTTGTGGATATCAAAGCTAAATTTGACAAGTTGGATTCATTCACACTAGAGTTTTATTTCAAGCGAAATAGATATTTCTCTAATACATTACTTACCCGTCAATATTTTCTACGTACCACCGCTGAGGATGACAAACCATTTCATTTTGACGGTCTAGAGATTTACAAGACACATGGTTGTGTCATTGATTGGTATCCAAATATGGAGTTAACCGAAGGTTTTAACTCTACATTCACCTCAGACTTTCAGACCTGGACTTTTGAATCATTTTTTGAGTTCTTCTACATACCAGACGCTCGGCTTGATGACGAGAAAAATAAAAAACTTAGAGACATGGATTTTGAATTGGCGTACCTTCTTCGTAATAAAGTTATACCACGTGCCGTACTGTACTATACAGGAGATATCGTTGATGATGAAAATGATAAGAAAGAAATCAGTGAACTCTATTTTTCATTTGACGATGATATTGAATCCGAAGGATCAGTTGAAATTATTGGAAACGATGATATTGACGAATATGTGAACCCATCTACTAACGCTTACTAACACAACTCTAAATCTATCATCAATTAGAAACAATATTTTTTTTTACAATAATTTTACAATTTTTAATTAAATTAAATACATTCCAAGATATTTGATTTTACTTTTTGCACAAATAGCTTTCTTTGTCTTAACAATTATATGAGACGAAGTGACCCAAAAGCCATTGGTATTACCATATAACTTAAACCCGAGGTGATAAAATCTGTACTGAATCTTTTTCAAACAGTTGCTCTTAGATATAAACTCGACCGCTCACTTCACTTATGACCATACATCTATTACTATTTCTTTAACTTCAAATATAATGTTAGTCTCCGTGGCCAACATCTATTAATTTCGTTTAATTCAAGCCGATGTCTTTAGTTGTATTTGTAGCCCGATCGAAGTTTCCAACAATGCAGTAGTACACTAAGCGCCAATGAAATGCATATATATAAATTTTATTTAAGGATATAAGATCCTATAAGGTCGAGTTAAGGTCCTATATTAAGCAGTGGAATTATAATTGACCCACAGTCTCTTAAATGTGTTAATCAACTTCAATGCCTAACGCAAAGCTTTTCCACATAATGATAACAACAATATATTTTTAAACTTTACAATTTTTTAAGAAATCAATTAATAATTATTGATGGAATAAAATATTTGACTGACCGCACATGGGTTGTTTAGGAGATTGTCAAGGCAACTGGTCTGGTCTGTCCATTATTGCCATTGCCCTCGAGTATTGTATTGTAAATATTTTTTTTAAATTGTTAAGCATTATTAAAATCTGATTTAATTAAATTAATTATATAAATAAATATATTTCTAATTTTTTATTTAATAGTTATATGAATACAGGGTCAATATTTTCCTTTTAAAAAATTCAATGCATTCTTATTTCGCAAAAAATCATTTGCTAATTTATTTCATATATGTAAATTTATATTTTAACGCTTAATTTTATTTTGATTGGCAATTATTTTTTCTGTTTTTAATTTAATTTATAATTTTTATTACTTTTACAAACGTTTTATTTGTAAACCTCAAACACTGCCAGCGGTTGATGGTTTTCAATAAATAAATAACAATCGAATTGACAGTAAAATTATTCTGCCTTATAGTAAATACATATTGCATATATATACATAACATAAATTTATTTTAAATGTTAATTAATGTAAACATGCATATTTAAACAAGTTTTTAAAAAAATGTACCCCTCTTACAACCCTTACCAAACTATGCACAAAGGGCTGTAAGGGACATTTTTAAAATCTTGCTTAAATATGCATACATACATTAATAAACATTTATATATTACGTATATATATATATATATATATAGATAAACATATAGTCAAATTTCTATAACTCGAATTTTCTATAACTCGAATTTTCTATAACTCGAACATATATATATATATATATACCATACATAAGCAGCTGTCTTGATATGCAGCTCAGTCAAAGGAATTGCTTAGAATAGTAAAAATTCAATATAAATGATATCAATTTAATAAATTGTATTTATAAAATATAATGCACAATACGTATGAATCGAGACTATTATTTCATATTAAAACTTATTTTCAACAACTGTGGAATACTTCCATGTACTTTTCTCTTCAAAACCTTTTGATGTGTTTATATACAATTAGGTTCAACTTAAGAAGATATTATTTACAAGACATTGTTTACAGGACATTGTTTACTAAGAATTGTTAACAGGACAGCAACTTATCTTGTTTTAAACAATTTAATTTTATTTAAGTACATTCATATGTTTATACAATTAATTATAAACTACTGTAATGGGCTGAAGTCTGAAGACGTAAGTAGTTATTGCAACTATTCTTAAATCACATTTTACTAGAAATTCAATTTTAAATATACATAAAATATATGTATTAATAAATTATTAATTATTTAAAACAAAACTCTTGTCTAGCAATGCATCCAAAGCTAATGTACTCAACGCCACACAACTCGAAACAGAATCTGAAACAGAAAAGTACAATTTACAGGTCACAGCAGGTATTTCCTCATAATTGGTTTATCCTGTTGCAATGCTTTGTGAATGGTTCAGTGTGCCAAGGCGCCCTAGGCGTTTGTAATCATATTCCAACAACCATAACTAAGCACATTGCGAAATATACATGAACTGCAATGTATCGGTGGCGGCAAGGGAATGAGTGGCAATCATTTTATTTTTGAAAAATTTTTAGCCTTTGATCCTTTAACATTCTACTACCACTTCAACTGCAATAAAACATAAATAATAAAATAAAATATTTTATTTTTTGATTTGAAAAGCGTATATACCTTTTATAAATGTTTTTTTCATATATTCTATTTATTCAATCGTAGTGCAAACACTATTAAAGTTGCTTCGTTTCATTTTTTCTTTTATTTATTGCATTCTAGAATTTTATTGCTTTTTTCGGATATACAGGATTCAATCTTTTTTATGCAGTTAATAATTTTATTAAGTAATTTTATTATTTCTATAAATCTGGTTATTCAGCGCTTTTATGTACTTAAATGAATTAAAAGATCAAGTGTGAAGGGCTAATTTGATATAAAAACTTCTCTGAACAAAGACAGGTAAGTATTATTGTTTCCAAAAGCGGCTCTTCACCCGTCTCTTAAGACAAGCAAGTCAAACACCAGCTTGTCGCCCAACAAAGATTACAACTAGTGGTGGTTGCTCATTATTAACATTGAAGTTCGCACTGTTCACTAAGAAGGTAAACTAAATAATATGGCCAAGTACTATCATTTATTTCCTAATCCAGTCTGCATCAGAAAAATGTTAGGAAGTCTGCTGATCAAGGCAAAAGCGAATTTGCCAAAGTCCATATAGAAATATAATAAAAATCAACGCTCGAAATAAAAGTAAATTTTTAAAAAAAAAAACAAAACCGACTTTAATCCATCTTCTTTTCACCTTACTCTGTTGTTTTTGTTTTGTAAATGCGCGTAGTTTGTTGCTTTATTCCATTTTAGGAATGATGAACGATACTTGGTCATCGAACGCAAAGAGTGGCTCCGGGACGCTCGTGGAATCTAACATGCAATAATATTGCATTCTCCGTATTCGTATTTGTAGTCCTTTTTACGTATATCTCTACAAATTACAGGACGACAATTATATGCTATTTTCATCTTCGTTTAATGTGTAGACGGTTTGAGTATTTAATTTTAAAAGTTTCTGCCCATCTTGAGAGAATCCAAGAAAAGTGATATCACTGTTAGGTTGGAAAAGTATTTATTTGTTCAATTCATTCAAAGAACTGTGTGCTTTCAACAAATGAAATATTATTTATCATCAGCTTTAAGCTCTATAGCGTGGGGTGACATAAAGTCACGTTTACAATTTCTTTACAATAGAAATTATTTTCAAGACCCACAGTGATTTACTCGTGTAGTCCTTTTTTGGGTGTGATGCATGATACTTATGTGTCGAACTCGACGCTTGGCTCCGGAACGTAGACCCGACCGTATGTGGAACCTTCTTTCTTTGGAATCGTACTTGCTGCTCTCTATACTTAAATGGTTTCACAATCCAATAGCTCTTGCGTTATACTTCAAAAGGGTTAGTTAACCGTTCATGTGAGTGTCCATTGTTTTTGACTACTAATAGCATATAGTCTAGAATTATATTCTGCACACATTAATTCTTCATTGTTCAATTCAACTTTATTTTTGAGTTTTTAATGAAATTACAAATATCTTTGCTTTTGATGAACTTCAACAAATCAAGTGGTATTTCGATGAAATTTGAAGTATAATTTATGAAGTGAATATTTAGTGAGTATTTCAAAGTATTACGATAAATCGAGTCGATAATTCGCTAGATTAATTGTACATTCACATCACTTAAAGATAGGTTCCAGCAGCTGTAAAACATTGATATCAAATCTTATGGTTTAAGGATCAATTAAATAGATCTTTACATAGCTGAAGTTAATATTAGTTCACATAAGTTGAACTTAGCATTGATTAGATTAGTTATACTTAATATTTATGTCACAAGAAGACTTGTTGTAAGACACTGTAAGCCAACTATAGCGTAACTTTCCAAGTAAGTATTCATTATATATAATTCAAAGATTCTGATATTCCGTCTATTGGATAGTGTTTATGTTGTCTGAAAACAGATTTTAATATCAGTAATTGTAATTGCAATTTCTTTAATTAATTAATGACATACTTAGCAATTCGCAATGTATATTGATTGCCTCAAGTTTGATGTTTTGGTTACTCGTATTCGCTATATTTTGGTAAATACATTTCACAGATTCATGCTTACATATGTATATGTTATCTGATATGTTATTTACAAGGCATAAAACTTTCCACAATTGTGAGTGAGTTAAGCTGGCCATTCGCTAGATTAGTTTCCCATTTGTCTATGACTTGCTGTCTATAAATTGATTAAACCAATAAGAATATAAACACTTAAGCACTATACCTCCAACAACAAAGTCTTTTAGAATAGCGCAGTAAGTGGAATGCACACCATTTGCTTGTCAATGTAGTTCAAAGAATGCACTTTGGATTGTTATTGTTGTACGTATGGAGTACACTGTACATTGGTCTTCACCATTACGATGGTTTGTCCTTAGTCAACAGTGACCACGAAATATTCATTGTCGTGCGAAAGGATTAGAAATGGTGTTCGTTCACTGCAATTGCAACCTACACTGCACAGATATATTTTTTGATAAAAAATTTTATTGAACGTAATCAACATTTAATTACTTTTATGAAAATTCCACAGCTTTTCGATACGTTGGCTTGCAATATACTCCGATTTCGACACATTTTTTTTTTCTATTATAATTTAATTCAATTAGTGCAGAAGCGTTAAATGCATAAAAAAATTCTACGTTTATAAACAAAACATAATTTCCGTGAAATATGAAAGTTTTGCGCCACTTTAATTTTGACAGCTGCCAAAATAACTCTTCATAAAGGCATGGACACAATGGTGCGCTGGTGAAACTTATGAAACTTACGGTTGATATTTTCAACTTTGCTTCGTGCACACATATTTGTATTGTGTACGTTTTGTTGTTGCATTTGCATTTTGCTTATTTTATTTGCGTAGTCAAAAATAATTATTAGGAAATAGTGACAGCAATTTAAACCCTGCTTATGGCATTTTCGATTGTTAAATCTGTGGTAATATGGCATTTACATTGGCTTTTAATGGCTCATTTCAAATGAGTCATTTGAAAGTGTTTACATTCGTTGTAATATGGCGTTTACATTGGCCGAAAATGGCTCATTTTGAATGAGCCATTTGAAAGTGTTTACATTCGTTCTATTTCATTTGTTCTCATTTCAACAGCTGATTTTTCAACTTGCATGTTGATTTGATTTTTGGCCTGTGCCAAAAAAATGTTGCATGAAGGTTAAATATACCTTTAAACCTTACAATATGAACTGTAAACTTATTTTTAGCTTCGATTAATTTATTTTTGGGAAGTAGAAGTTTCAAAAAGAGTTGCATAGTTTTTAAGGCAATGCAATCACCAAACATTTGTTTACCTTTTTTTGTGAATATGTCAAAATCAGCTTTCCCAAACTGTCAAAGTGCCATGAAAAGCGTTTATTTAGCATTTAGGGTATATTCAATTCATTCATTTCCATTTTGAACATATTTGGAACTCATTCTAATCTCGTTGAAACTCATTTATACATAATGAGATGTTATTTGCACTTGAGATTTTGTATGCAAAAATGAGCCATTTTTTTCTCATTTTTGATTTTTGACCAAAATGAGCCATTTGAGGCTTTTTTTTATTTGAAATTCACTTTTAGTGCAACTATCATTTTCAATTGACAGATCTGTATAAAGCGCGTATTACATATGAAATTTGTTTATCAAAATTTTTTGTCGTCGCTAGCCATTACACATCCGATACACTCGACACTTGTGGGAAGAGTTTGTTAGAAACGTAAAAGTTGAAATATCCAAACAGTCAAAAATAATAGATTTCTTTCGAGTTAAATAACATAAATTATAAAAATATATAGAACATAATAAATTAAATAATAAATAATAAAAATAATTTTTTTAAATACAAATCGATATATATTTAATATTACATATGTTTATTAATTAAATATGTTTTTAAAATAAATACGTACACAATTCCCAGTAAAATGAAAAAAAAAAACAACAAAGGAAAATTTGTTTAACCTCTCTATAACGAAGACCTCTCTACAACGAAGTTTTTTGCAGGCATCAACGACTTCGTTATAGAGAGGTTTGATTGTACTATACTTCATTTTATTTTTATTAAAATCTTTTATTTTATTAACTAAAAGCTAACAACATGTTAATATTACTTGTAAATAAAAACCCGTAATTTGTTTACCGAAATTCACTATGGAATTTAGAGTAATTTCAGAGTAAATTTATACACTCCATATTTACACTATAAGCGGTTCGAGCAATGCAATTAAAAGACCAGGTCGTAGTTGGTGCCATTTGAAATCTATTCTCTTAGCACAATATTTTTTTAATTTCGCTACTCATGTTTGAAAATTTCTTCGTCAAAAAACGATGAATGAAATATGTGAAAATTGCCTTAATTATTACTGGAACGACATCGAATCATTTACGGCTGATTAAACAGCTTCCAACTTTAAACTGTTTATCGGGTAGACACTTTTTACTTTACAAGTGAAGAGTAAAAAGAAAGCGATTTAAAATTACAAAATGCACTGCTAATAATCAGCTGCTCTTTTCTTAATTATAAAGCAGTAAAAGTTTTTACTTTGGCACTATTGATAAGTTAAGTCATTGCTAGCAAAACTTCTTCCATAGTTTTATTCGAACGGTATTTTTAGTCCTATTATTGTAATAACGGAGTTACAGCAAAAAACAAAAAATAAAAAAAAATTAAAACCTACAGCTGTAGCAAAGTAAATATTACGAAAAGAGACGTAGAAGAAGTGCGGAAGCTGTGAAGTTTTATCGAAATCAAAAGTTTAAAATTAATTTTTACTGCAACTACTTGAGCATAAAACTTTTTTATTTTTTATTTATAATTTTATCTACTTTTGCTTCTGCCACATCTAAATTTCTTAATATTATATTTCTTTTTCTTTTCCTTCTACCCCGGGTGCAGCATATGTGATATCGATAAAATAGTATTTTGGCATACCGGAAAAGGATGTCATGCGGTATTTTTGTACTCACTATTCCCCTGCTGCTTTTGGAGGTTACTCTAAGTAGATGCTTTCTTTAGTCTTAACTTACTTGCCCCATATATATCGAGTTAAATGAATATTTTTACTTGTCAAAATGTCTTACTAGCTATTAGAACATATGCACTCCAACTAGGCATATATTAGGGTTACCGCACCTATGGTTTATGTCGGAAAACTTAGCATGAATCTTTCTTCGTTATGGAATGATATTCTCAAAGGACATGAGAAAGCTCAGACTTCCAAATGTTCAAATTTTATTGATGAATGCAATTTCCGTTTGCGTTATAGTTGTCTTCTTTTTCATGGTACAACTATTTCGTTCGATAGTTAAATAAGAAATTATAAATTACAGTTTATAACTTTTCTCCTCATTGATTGTTTGTCATATAGCCATAATACAATAGTTTTATTCTATTTTTTCAATTGATTAGTTGTCATCCTTCATAACCACATTTCATACTTCATCAATCCTACAGTTTATAACTGTTCTTCTCATTGATTGTTTGTCATATAGCGATAATCTTCTAGTTTTATTCTATTTTTCCAATTGATAAATTGTCATCCTTCAAAACTATAGCTTCTTAATTACGCATGGTCTCGCAGTTCAGTTGAGAACTTGCTGCGTGATTAATAAGTTTAGGTGGGCGTAGAAGCAATTGTGAATTGATAATTGACTGAGGTGATAACTGATCTCACCATGTTTTTTGTTTGTTTGTAAAGTATATCATTGTATCAGTTCTTAAAATATTTTTCTCTGTCAATCTAGCTTAATATTAGATATCTTGCATAGGTGCTTTTTGTTTTTTGAAATATGGATTATTAAATTGCAGTGTATCATTGTATATTTTAATTTTTCTTTTGATCGAAAGATTGATTTCAATATATATGTCAACCCATCCAATTTTTTTTAGATGTGTCTCATCTCCATTAGTATTTTATTCCCATTGATATTGGTAGAAGTGCACCATTGAAACATCGCATAGGTTGCGGTGTGTGATTGTATATATTAATTTTTCTTTCGATCCAAAGCTTGTTTGGTTTTATTTTATGGATGCATCCATCTGCGTTTTGCAGAAGTGTCCAATCTCTTTTAACATTGTGTTTGACTATTCATTTGGCTAGTTCTTCTAAGTGTTAATATGATATGCTGCGCATGTTTCTTCTAATGAACTATGAGGCTTTAACGCCAATATCAATCGACTTCTATTATATTATATTAGTTGAGTCATGGATTGAACAGTAAGAACACATCCTCTAGCTTATGTCCATTTGTTTGAACTGCATGTGAAGTTAGTACTGTCCTCACTTAAAGCCGTTGCCTTGATCCGATATTTACCTAAATTTAAAGTCCCGTGGTAATGTGAATAAGCAGTTCAGACTTATATTTAACTTGTACTGTAATTGGACAATATTTCGCCAGTACTCATGCCAGTTTAGTATTTATTGAAAATGTTTCATCTAGTCGTATGCCACTGTTTACCACTCAATGGAGATCGACATTGACAATAGTACTATCCATAGTGCCATGATGAATATGGTCACTATCCGTATGGCCATCATTGAGAGTATCGCAATCCATAGTGCCACGATTCATAAAACCACGTTTCACAGTATCATTATTCTTATTTTGACCAGCCATATTATTATTTGCTGATGACATCTTGAAATTGCCAAAATATTATTTGTGGTCCTATTTAATATGAATTGGAGATGTGTTTGTGTTCTAAAATATTTTCAGTTGGCAACCAAATTTACAAAATTTTATTAAAACTTTCTTATCTTATTTATTATAATCGACTTGCAATGAAACACACAACCCTACGGCGTTTTCTAGAAACAAATGGTATTTGAATGTATCGTTTTATAGTGGGAGTGTATGTGTTTATTTCACCACGTCTTTGAAAAACAATGATTTTCGTTTAATAATCTTCACACTAAGTTGGATATAATAAAGTATGACTTTTGAGTTTGATAACCACTACCAGCACTTATGTTCAGTTTTCAATAATCAATTTGTTGCAAAAAATATTCCGATATTAAAGCTTTTAAATTGCTAAACTTCAGCCAGCAGTGAATACCCAAGCTAACGTATAGAGTTTGTGGTGTATACCAGTGGTGTGTTTGGTGGTGTGTTTGGTGGGTAGGGATATGGCTGCATGTGAGAGTGACAACGGTGACAGTTAGTAGATGTGGCAGTTAGCAAGCAAACAAGACGGCGTGCAAGTGTGGGGTTCGTTAATGCCAGAAAATTTATGATGATTTTTGTATTTCTGCGTGATTGAAAAGCGACTGATATTTTAGGTGAGGCGAGTTATGAGAGTGTGAAGTGTTAGCTGATATTATTGATGACGGTGTTGATTTTAATGCTTTGCTGATGACTTGGCAGTTTGTACTTATTAGTCGCTTAAATGTTTTCATCCATATTAAAGTATCATTCCAGGATTAAACGCTATAGAAGCTATTTATTAGACATAACACAGCAAATATTCATATAATTAATGCAACGATATTTATTGCAAATTATATGTTAGTATTTGCATGTAAATGTATATAACACAACGATGAAGTTGTTATTTTTTACATAAAATGTATATGTACTTCACACTTGAAAGAATGAACACCATATAGTGAGACCCTCTAGATTTTCTTTTGTCTCGATTAAACATTTTTTGTTTTAACAAGTATTTAAACGAGTATTGTTTTAACTACTATTCTATTACCTATTGAATCTTTTCTTATGTTATAAATTAAAAAAA